TCCTGCTGGTCTGGAGGGGTTAGCCTTTAGCCTAGCATGGATTTTGTTAACATTCGCACCGTTTGAGCTTCCTTCTCTCTCGGGTAACTACCGGCGTCGTCTCCGATCGGACTCCGTGTTGGTGTCGTATGTCCACATCAATATACATATAATCTTTGGTAATAAAAAACTTTTTTGCACGTTACACTCAAAGTTATTTTTAAAATTCGACATAGAATCCATTGAACTTTCATGTCCATCGCTGTTTATTTGTTCAATAGAACACGAAACTAAGAATGTAATGAGGTCACACACTCGAACGCCTGAATGACTGAACTTCCACCTCTTGGAAAACAACAAACTGAAACACAACATTACATGCAAACATGGCCTGCGAGATCTTCATCCATTTATTCCTCCTGAGGAATAAGAACGTAATGTGGTCCCAGTTTCACACATTCGAACGCCTGAATGACTGAATTTCCATCCTGAGGAATAAATATTTCTGTCCAAAGAGGCAGGAACCGGCACAAACAGCCCAGTTTTGTCCCAGTAGAATCATCGTGTCCAAAGGAAACAAAGCAGGTCAAAAGCATTGTTCTGCTGCCATAAGGTTTGGATTCCAGTCCCAGCTTTAGCCATGAGTCTGGGTGGACTTGGCTTTACTCGACCCTACGTGTCTTCTTGTCTGTGAGACCACACGATGCCAAGACATACAAATACTGCAGCTACAACATGGTATATGTCTTAGGGACCCTCGAAAGATTCACACAACTCAACCAGCAGAATCACACAGAAGACTCCGCGATACTAAAATGCCGAAGCAAGACGAAAATGGTTGGAAGATGTGGAAGAAATAAAAGCACAAGACCTTAATCAGTCTTAAGAAGTAGCACTTTTATCCTATGTTGTATTGTTTCTTCTTCTTTTGTGCTTCTCTTTTATACACAGAACACTTTTTTATTTATTTATTTTGCGATGTAATGGAGCTAAAAGCCTTCTAAAAAGCACCAGCTAGTGTATCACTACCCCCGAAAATGATATTCCATCTCAGTGGAATACACCAAACGAGGTGGTATCTTTGGGCAGAACGCTCGTCATCCCTCTAATAGAGTTTAATTGACTTGGAAAATCAATGCCGTTGAAGCTGTTCTTGTGGTGATCCGAGTCTTTGTGCATTTACGGTGAGACGTTGTTCAGTGC